GGTTCTAGTTTCAGGGGTTGCGCTATAACTCTAAAATCTGAAGGTTTTTTGTTTGACGCCCACATGTTACTGTTACCACCTATCTCCTTGCACCAGAACAGGCCCTTGTGTCATAAAATGCCTGTGTGCAAAAAGGACTCAGAATAATTTTATTCTCTGACCTTTTTGAGATAGGGGAAATGCCCAAGTCAGGTTGAATTTTTTTTTCTTTAGTTGAATGTGCAGAATAAAATGTTTCATAGAAATATAAATTCTTCAGTGTTGCTTTCCAGTATATGATAATCCATACTGCATCTTTTACATTTGCATTTTAAAAATGTTTATCTTTGGAACAGGCACTTTGTGGCACTAGCTGAAACTGGGAAAATACTGTGTAGGTTTGAGTTTCACAACTTTATCAATGGACCTTCGTCCTTATCTGATGTCCTCTTCCATTCCCTGCCCTTTTCTGTGTACAAACTGTCAACTGCATTGATATGTACCAGAGCAGGTTTACTCTACGAATACTACAGCTATGGCACTGGTGTGTGGGCACTTGGTACCACAACAGAAGCGTGTTTGTTGCTATGTTAAAATCTGCAGCTATGGTAAGGATTAGGTCAATGGAATTATATCATACAGGGGATGAAATTTTTCTCAGCCCTGAGCCAGATAGCTAGGTTGATCTAATTTTTAGGTTGACCAAGCCCTAGTTTTGTGATGAAAGTGAGTGTTTGCTAGGGTGATGCCACCGACCATGGATTGCTCAAACGAGGTTTTCACTGGCAATAAAAGGCCAGTATCTTAACCCACAGGTTTGATTTCTTTATTATCAACAGTTAGGCTGTGTCTACACTGGGCCACTTATTCCAGAAAAGCGGCTGCGAGCTGTCTACACTGGCTGCTTGCTTTTCCGGAAAAGCAATGATGATCTAATGTAAAATCGTTATTGTTTTTCCAGAAAAACTATGCTGCTCCCGTTCGGGCAAAAGTCCTTTTCTGGAAAAAGTGTTCCGGAAAAGGGCCAGTGTAGACAGCACAGTAGTCTTTTCTGCAAAAAAGCCCAGATCACAAAAATGACGATCGGGGCTTTTTTCCGGAAAAGCGAGTCTACATTGGCCATGGACGCTTTTCCGGAAAAAGTGCTTTTCTGGAAAAGCATCCTGCCAATGTAGATGCCCTTTTCCGGAAATACTTATAATGGAAAAACTGTTCCATTTTAAGCATTTCCGGAAAAGGGTGCCAGTGTAGACGTAGCCTTATGGTTTGGTTCCAACCAGCCCACTCAAATTAAGGGAGAGATGACATTTCATGCTATAACTACCCCTGCAGGTGATGTACCTGATTGTCCATGATGGTAGCTCTCCTTGGATGTGGAGAGAAATCTCATTCTACAGTAGGTGATGATCACCTTGATACCAGGAATGATATGTTACCGGTAGACACTAGATCCATTTATATACTCTCCTACCACCTGTGGGAGAAAAATCAAATAACTCCAATTGTGTCTAAAGGGGGGAACTGTGCAGAAATCATAACTTTCTAAAAGAAAACTGCTGTAAGGGTTAAAAAGTTTTCCAGACCTCTCTCCCTGTAACAGAGAGAAATCAAATTAGCTCTAATCAAAGACCCTTACAAATGACTATCTCAAATTCATGGATACTCCTAGTCTGTCACAATTTGTCATGTAAACCCTTATCTTTGTCACAGTTTGCCTTGTAGACTCCTCCACTCAAGTTCTCATGTGGCTTTGTGTACTGTAAAAACTTACTTCTAGCACTCCTGGGGTGAACAGAAGTCTCAGAGTACTTCTGCTGAGACTTTGATATGTTAAAGAAGAACAATCAGCAACTGAACTGTCTAAGCATTCTGTATATAGGATACCTGAATCTGTCTGTCAGGGCTGCTGCTTCACTCTTGGAAGTGACAGCCTGCATGCATGCATCATAAAGTTTTCTCTTCTAAGTTTCTTTCCTGCCTCACTGATTTGACCTCCGGCCTCGGACCCTTCTGGGGGCTCTGTACCCCAGGGGAGCGAGATTTCCCCCTCACACCCCCATTTTTCCCAGCAAATGCTGGATTCTACACGAGGGCTATGTCTACACTGGCATGATTTTCCGGAAATGCTTAAAACAGAACAGTTTTCCGTTATAAGTATTTCCGGGAAAAGAGCGTCTACATTGGCAGGATGCTTTTCTGGAAAAGCCCTTTTTCCGGAAAAGCATCCGTGCCAATGTAGACGCACTTTTCCGGAAAAAAGCCCCGATCGTCATTTTTGCGATTGGGGCTTTTTTGCAGAAAACAGTACTGTGCTGTCTACACTGGCCCTTTTCCGGTACAGTTTTCCGGAAAAAGGACTTTTGCCCGAGTGGGAGCAGCATAGTTTTTCTGGAAAAGCAGCTGATTTCTTACAATATATTGTCAGTGCTTTTCTGGAAATTAAAGGGGCGTAGACAGCTGGCAACTTATTCCGGAAAAGCGGCTGATTTTCTGGAATAAGTGGCCCAGTGTAGACACAGCCCAAGAGTGTGGGTGTTCTCTGGGGGGTTTGATTATACAGCTGACACTGATCATGCAAGTGGGCAGCTGGAACAGTTTTATCCACTGAAAGCCCAGCCTGGAAGAGGACATTAGCTTACAGGAAGAACTGGAAGTGCTAATAAATAAGTACAATTATGACATTGTTGGCTTCACAGAAACTTGGTGGGATAATACACGTGATTGGAATGTTTGTATAGAAGGGTACAGAATGTTTGTATAGAAGCTTGCTCAAGAAGAATAGATAGGGAAAAAAGAGAGGAGGTGTTGCCTTATACATTAAAAATGAACACACTTGGAGTGAGGTGGAGGTGAGTATAGGAGACGGAAATGTTGAGAGTCTCTGGGTTAAGATAAAAGGGATTAAAAACAAAGGCGATGTCATGCTAGGAGTCTACTACAGGCCACCTACCCAGGTGGAAGAAACGGATAAGGCTTTTTTTAAACAACTAACAAAATCATCCAGAGCTCAGGATTTGGTGGAGATGGGGGACTTGAACTATCCAGATATATGTTGGGAAAATAACAAAGCTGGGCACAGATTATCCAATAAGTTCTTGGACTGCATTGGAGACAACTTTTTATTTCAGAAGGTTGAAAAAGCTACCGGGAGGAAGCTGTTCTAGATTTGATGCTAACAAATAGGGAGGAACTAGTTGATAATTTGAAAGTGGAAGGCAGCTTGGGTGAAAGTGATCATGAAATCATAGAGTTCACAATTCTAAGGACGGGTAGAAGGGAGAACAGCAAAATAGAGACAATGGATTTCAGGAAGGCGGATTTTGGTAAGCTCAGGGAGCTGATAGGTAAGGTCCCATGGGAATCAAGACTGAGGGGAAAAACAACTGAGGAGAGTTAGCAGTGGAAAATGAAGCGGCGATTTAAATAATCGCCGCTTCATTTAAATTGAAATGGCTGCCGCACTGAGCTGATCAGCTGTTTGTCGGCTCAGCGCGGTAGTCTGGACGCTCCGCGGTCGACATCAAAGGCATTTGTCGACCTCCCAGGTATGCCTCCCTAGATTCCCAGGAATCTAGATGTATGCATGTAGTCTAGACGTACGCTAAATGTTCCACAAGCCTTAGGAAAAAAGCGAGGAGCTGGAAAAACATGATAGCAAATAGTACCATCTAGAGCAGGGCTGGGCAAAATACGGCCTGAGGGGTGGATCTGGCCCACCAAGCCTCAGGATCCGGCCCGCACACCACCCTGCTGGGACCTTCAGGCACGTACAGCTGCCACGTTTAGCACAGACCCTGCATTTCTCTGCTCTGCAGAGTAGGGGAGGTTTCATGAGATCTCCCTGTCCCAACCCAATCCTCAGCTCCTATTAGCCAGAAACAACCGGCCAAAAGGAACTGACCTCGGCCAATCTTTCAACTCTTATTGGCTGAAAACAGCCAGCCAATTGGAGCTGAGAGATTGGCCTGAGAGACTGGGGCAGCCGGAGTTGAGAGCCACGTAGAGGGAGCAGTCTGTATTTTCAAGCAGACTGGGGCTGCAGGCCAGGAGCCACTTGTGTAAACTCCTCCCAGCCAGTGCCTGCCTCTGGCACCCCAACCCATCCTGCACCCCAACGCCCTCCCCCAGATCACTATCCAAATCCTTTGTACGCCCTGACCCAGGTGATAACTTCCTCCCAGACTCCATACCTCCCCCTACACCCCTTCCCCAGACCAGAACCCTCTCCTGAACCCACACTCCCTCCCTGACCCTACACCCCAATCCTCTGACCAAGATCACAACCCCTTCTCCACCCAAACACCCTCTGAGATCTCACGCCATCTCCTGCACCCCAATCCCTTATCCTGTGCACCCTTCTGCACCCAACCTTCACCCTAGACCCTGCACCCCCTCCACAAAAAAGTGCGGCCCTTGACCACTTACCAAAATCTTGGAGTGGCCCCTCACCGAAAATTATTGCCCACCCCTGAACTAGAGATGAGAAGTACCAGCAGATTAGGTTCATGCCTTTGTAATCACAGAGAAAAAAGGTGAAGACTTGTGGCTGCGTATGGATGCTAAGGAGCTGAACAAGAACCTAAAAAGGAAAAGTTCCACTTGCCTACAAGCAGGAGAGTATTTTCTGAGATAGCAGAAGCCAAATTCTTCAAAAAATTAGATGCATTGGCAAGATTTTGGCAGATCCCCTTGGTCAATCAGAGCTCCAAGATCCACACTTGCAATACACCTTTTGGCAGGCTTAACCGGTTAACCAATTAACCAAGATTTTATATCCCTAATCTTAGTAATGCAGAAGCATGATGTGACTCTGGAATTCCAGCCTGGATGTCACATAGTGTCACGGTGCGGTCTCCCCCTCAGGATTACAGCCCCATCATCATCGGGGTCGCCTACACCCAAAGTCACCACCCTACACCCGTGTCCTATAAGTTCTTAACCATGTGCCAGTCCAGTGGCTATACTGATACCCACTCTGACGCAGCGAAAGTTCGATTA